ACGAGAGTAAGATTGTTAACTATAATAAAACCAGTCTTACAATTTTTATATCGTGAATGCACACCACTGAGATCCATTCATCCAAGGATTCATACAGGTTATATTTTTAGTAGTACATGGAGGTGGATTATGTTGATGATATGTACATGTACCCGTTAGGCCTAGTTTTTCATATTAGTGGTATAAGGTTAATGTGTGACTTTCTGAGAACTAAACTGATTACTAGATTAAATGCTTTATAAATGCACAGGAATTCTCACATCGGTCACAAGTTTTTCCTCTTAACAAAATTAGCTCGTTTTTAAACGGTTGGCATTTTAGTGCGTCGCACAACAGGTTACTATGTGTATGTGTATATCACATTCTGTAACTTATCAGACTGTTACAAATAAAGGCAGTCGGTGGTCGGCTACATGCGTGTTATATATTATTTCAATTGTGTAACTGAATGCATAGCCTACATGTACTAGGCAGGTTTAGAAGTGTGAGCCTGCAAGTGTTTGCCCCCCCCCCCCCCGTTGAGGCAAGAAACTGTGCGATGTGCTTAACAAGTGAAGGTTAACACAATCGAGGCGAGTTGTTTAGCACGCAATTGAGAGTAGAAGACGTCCCGAGCAGCAGCTGTGGCTGCCACACAGTTGTGTAGAGACATTGTAGATAACATCAGCAGCGTTCACACGTAGCAGAAATCCGGTATTTAGCGTTCACACGAGGCAAATGCGCGGTCCAAGAAATACGGTATTCTAAACAGATCCGGTATTTGATGTAAATACGCGGCTTCCCAGACCCCGAATAATTTGCCATGCTTGAGAAATACCGATCTCTTGGACCGCGCATTTCCTCGTGTGAACGCTAAATACCGATTTCTGAAGCCGTGTATTTTATGAGACTGGTCCGCGTTCGACAGTTCCAGTGTAACGCGAGTGAACTGTCGAGCGCGGACCAGTCTACGTATTTTATCGGAAGTTGGTGCGCATTGCATTGTTTTATTTCGCATTGTTCGCTTGATTGTTTAAAGCAGCTCGCAGCTCGCAAATACCGTATTTCTGGAGCCGCGAATCAGCTCTCAGATTCGGTATTTCGCAAATACCGTATTTCATAAATACGAGGTCTCGTGTGAACGAGGCTTTTGTCTCAGATTCGGTATTTCGCAAATACCGTATTTCATAAATACGAGGTCTCGTGTGAACGAGGCTAATATTTACATTTGCTATGCAAGGACAATCAAAAAAACGGCGTTTGTTAAAAATGGGGATCAAAGATATAGGGTTACAAATATTTTTCATCCTTTAAATTAAGGTATAGGATTGACACCCTGCAAGCTTACACAGTAGGATAAAACCATGTGGCCACACATACGGTTTTGAATTTGTCATTGTCACATTGTGACATCTATAACTACACGGTGGCCTTGACCTGTTGCGGACCTGTTTTTAGTTGCGTAAAACGTTACAAAAACAAGTCTCATGGATCAACACAACTTATAACAGCAAAAATATCATTTTACAGATATGTACATAATAGCTTTTTATTATACAATAAATATATTTATGTATATTATCTGGTGTAAAAGCTCAATTTCATTCTGTGGTAATCATAATGTGGTATACCTTTTGCTTGTAAAAGCACAAGAAAAAGTGATAACTTCTATGACTCCTTATCAATTCGAGGCAACATGATTATCATAAGATATGAAACTGAACTTTAAACACCATTCACATTCCAGAGTGCAACCAGTACATACAACATTTTTTTTTACCCTGTACACAACACCACAGTGGTAATAATGCATGTACTTGTTATAATGTTCAATTGCTCCAACACTGAAGCTATCAAATTTACACAGATATTTATCATACTTGTTTGCGTTTGTCAATATTTTTTTTTCTTATGATGAAAACGAGCCAGGTTGAGGAATAATAAAAGATCACAGCTTTTGCCACACCTCATTTACCTTACATTGCTTAGAGATATTGGTTTATTACTCAATATAGTACATTCTACTACTCAGTTCAGTTTATCATTGAAACAAATTAACATGCATATATATCAGGAGTTAATAAAAGACAAATTGGTCTTTTATTAACTCCTGATATATATGTCAAATGAATATACAGATTTTAGGATTTAGAGGCACAACCTTTGGCATCAAGGATTCTCATGGTGATGTTTTCCTGCTAAACTACTGCTGCAGCACTCTGGCCATTAGAAATGACCAATGGAGACACGTGGCTACTTGTCATGGGCAGGTTTGATATTGCTCGTTATGTGGTAATGTAATTAAACTTTACCACACACGCATATCATCCATCTATCCAAGATGCTTTGCTAGGATCCTTCCGTTGTATTTGATATGGAAGCCGATGATGTAATGTTTCTCTTGTTCAGTTCCATGTAAACGACATAAGCCAGTGGCACGAGTATCGCAACAAGAATCATAACTACAACAACATTCCACCACCTGATTCCGCAGTCAGTGCCATTGAAAATGGACATCTTCTCTATGGGATAAAACCGTTTGCACGTTAACGTCTGCTTCACTTCTTCCAGTGAGCCTTTGTACGAAGACGTCGACTGCCGAATCTTTTCCAGGTCCTTGTCCATGCTTTCCAGAAACGTCCGAGCGTCTCTGGAAGTCGAGCCATTCAGCTGGTCACGTATGCTTATGGTCCTCACAAATATAGTTTCCTCATCAGAACTCAGTGGTACATCTGAACATGAGACTGTTCTCCGCCTGGCCTTGCGGCCTGTCTCAGAAGACGTGGATGCAATGATGTTCTCCGTGGAAATAATGTCGGCCAGTAGACCGTACCTCTTCAATGGAATTTTGACATCTACTAAGGCGAAGAACTGTTGGTCGGTTACAAGATTGTTGATGCGTTTTATTTCAGCCACCTACATACAGAAGAAAATAAATATAATTTGCATTAATTTCATAATAAGATACATATACTGTTTTGCTAAATAAGGTAGATATAGAAAAAACTTGACTGTTTACTCATTATGGCAGTGTCACAACTGACCTATTACCTACTGGCTAAAAGCAAGAATAATTGTGACGAGCATTTTAGTTTCTGCCTTCAACAAGGTGAGTACCACAGAACAGCTGCTATTAATAATTGTGCCTTGCACATTTATAGCAATAATAACATGTCTCTCAGATACATAAAGACTACATGCAGAATTAAGGCAGACTTGTTAGAATTAGATGTCAACATTGTTTTTATCTCTGAGCATCTCTCGTTAAACTAAACATGTAACGGTTAATTACCGGACATCCATACTGAAGAGCCAAGCTCTGCAGAGTATCACCGGGTTTAATTCGCCTGTCGATGAAAGTGGGTGGTTCATCCGTCTTTTTCTGCACACACCGTTCTGCCTGCAGACCGGTGCCCCTCTGCCGTACATCCGACATCTCGACGACGTCGTCTGCAGTGAGTTCATCGTCTTCGGTGCCGGCATTGTCAAAGGTGTAATACTGAAAGCCGTTGTCGTTCTTATGCTTTCCTGAAACACGTGCGCACACAAATGCATTCCTTAAATTCTGGTTAGAACTTAGATACATCAAATTATGAGCGTGATATTAAAAACCATTGTGCGGTGTAGTGACCGATTTGAATTATCAGGTAACAATAACCAAATTATGTGTTTCTAAATGGTATTTGTCCAATGAACGCATTGTCATAGTTGTTGGATATTTGGGACCCCCACATGCATGACAGAACATAGAGATA